AAATGAAGAGGCAGAGCATTCCAGACATAGAGGACAGTCAGAGAAAATGCCTAACGCTGAGATATGGAGTGTCTTATACGTGCAACAGTAAGGGAGGCCAGTGCCACTAGGTTGAAGAATACATTGGGGCAGGGGTAAGGAGTAAGAAGACTGGAAAAGTCAGGGTGAGGATTTGTAAATGAAGGACTTTGGATGCCAAACACAGGATTTTATGTTTGATCCTATAGGTAATAGAGATTTTTTTTTTTACTATGAGGGCAATATGATCAGACTTGTACTTTAGAAAATCACTTTCATGGCTTAATGGAGAATAGGGAGAAATTTCTAGCAGACAGACCAACCAGTAGGCTGTTGCAGTAATCCAAGCATAAAGTGAAAAGGGCCTGTATCAGGGTGGTGACAATATCATACAGGAGAAAAGATGAAATATCACAAAGATCAAGAGATGTTGCAAAGGTAAAATTGACAGCCCTTGGCAACAGATTGAATATGAGGCACAAGAGATAATGAAGAGTAGAGAATAATGCCTAGGTTGTGATGCTGGGGAACTGGGGTGATGACATTGCACTGGAAAGGAGGAGAGTTTAGGAGGAAAGTTAATGAGTTCCATATTAGATATGTTGAGTTTAAGATGTTTTTTGGACATCCAGTTTTAATGGACATCTTAGTTCAAGATACCTGAAAACCAGTTTGAGACGCAAGATTGGAAGTCAGCAGAGAGGTTAGGGTGGTTTAGGTATATTTGAGAATCGCCAGCATAGAGATGATTATTAAATCCATGGGAGCCAACGAAATCACCAAGTGAAGTACTATAATGGGAAAGGAGAAGGGGACCCAGGATAAAACCCTGTAGAATGCCCGAAGTTAGTAGGCATGACTTGGATGAGGATGCAATAAAGGAAACTGGGAAGGAGCAGTCAGATAGGTTAGAGGAGAACTATGAGAGACAATCGCATCTTGGAAACCTAGAGAGATGAGAATATCATGCAGGAGAGGATGATTGTCAGTGTTAGAGGCTTGAGAGACATCAAGAAAAATGAGTGCCACAAAGAACTGCTCCAAAATTTCAGAGAGACAGAGAGAGATACAGAAGAGAGAGAGAGAGAGAGAGAGAGAGAGAGAGAGAAGAGAGAGAGAGAGAGACAGACAGACAGACAGACAGACAGACAGAGAGACAGAGACAGAGACAGAGAGACAGAGAAAGAGATAGAGATGCAGAGAGAGATAGAGAGACACAGAGAGAAACAGAGAAAGAGGGAGAGACAGAGAAAAGAGAGAGAGAGAGAGAGAGAGAGAGAGAGAGAGAGAGAGAGAGAGAGAGAGAAAGGATGGATTTTCTTGCTCTTCCATGACCATCTAAATTTAAGTTACTCTATAAATTACTATGACTTTGGACAATCTACTGAACTTTTCTGAACCTCAGTTTCTTTACCTGCAATACGGAATAATAATAGAACAAGGGAAATGAAATGACAGCCCAAATGTTGTATTAATACCCAAGAAATGTTAAAATAATAATAATGATGATAATAATAACTGAAACCTATAAAACCTACTATGTGCCTAGCATTATGCTAGATACTTTATAAATAATATCTCATTTGATCCTCACAAAAGCACTGGGAGGTAGTTGTTATTATTATCACCATTTTACCTTTGGAGAAACTGAAGCAAACAGAAATTAAGCTATTTGCCCAGGGCCACACAACTAGCAAGAATCTGAGGCTGGATTTGAATTAGATCTTCTTGACTCCAGATCCAGTTATCTATCCACTGTGCCACCTAAGTAACTCATACATGCCCATAAAGTACACATTATATATCATGTACAAGTACATATATAAATACATAATATTAAATATATATGTATACATCTATTAAAATATATGTATGTATATATATAGGGAAAGACTTCTATTTGAAGGACTTAGGGGATGAGTTGGTCAATAATTACACAAGATCAGGAGATATAGATGGGATATTACCTGTAAAGCATTGTAAACAATTATTATTTTGTTACTTCTTAAATAGCCTCCCACATTGAATTATGCTATGTGTATCATTTCTAAAGGAAATCTGTATGGCTTGTAGAGTGATAAGCTTTGAAACTACCAAACTAACCTGTCACTTAACTGTTTGTTCATAATGAAGATAAGTTACTTTTGTATATGTATTAAATGTGGTTTTATATACACTATCTCATTTGATCATCACCACATTATAAGGTTGATTCTGCATACATTATTATCTTCATTTTATAATTGAGAGACTGAGACTCAGAGAAGTTTCATTTTGGTGGTAAAGTGATGGAACCAGGGAACAACTTCTGGTCTTCTAACTTCAAATGCAGTGCCCTTGGTATCGCATGACACAGTGACATAGTACAGTAAACTATGTTAACAATAGTGGAAGAGCTTCAGGAACCACATCAATTTCCCCAGAATTCTAATTCTAGCCAAACAGAGAACAGATTTAAAAGACTTGACAAGTAAGCTGTTCAACAAGCACTAGATGTGTTGGCATTGTGGTAGGCTCTAGAGATAATACTTTATATTTGTATAATGTTTAACAAATATAGATGGATTTTATATATTTATTTAATATAATGCTTAGAATAAACCCTTAGGTAGAACAGGCATTATTATCTCCATTTAAACTATCATGTGGAAACTGAGGCCCATAGAGGTTATGAGTTATACAGACAACCATTTAGGACTTTGCAAAATGTAATAAAACTCACAAAAGTTTACTTATATGTCATGAAGGACAGAACTACTTTTTAAAATACTTTCATCTCAAATTGCAGCTAAGAATGAAAAATATGTAATTAATTAGACCTATCTAGTTAACGTTGACAGAGCAAATGAAAATGCTGCTTGACTGTTAAATAAGGAAAATATGTGAGCACATTGATATGACTTGTATGATATTTTAAGAATCTATAGATGAGAGCTCATTGTCGCGAGAGACAGAGATTAGAAAGTGTATGTGTGTGATGTTAATTCCAAGACTGATTAAGTTAGAATAGAGAAGAAGCTGATACTGTTGGAACAATAAGGAAAAATAAGATATTAAATGAATACAATTTTTCATTGTGTTAAATGAGATGTAAAATTGTGAAGGGATACCTCTTGGGTTTTTTATTTTTCATTTTTTACAAAATGCTTACTTCCTATAATTCTGAACACATCCTTCTCTGGCCTCTCATTTTTCTTTTGGCTTCTTACCTTCCCTCAGGGTCCCTGCCTTTATTCCCTGACTTCTCCAGGGGTCCCTTCCTATTCTCCAGTTCTTCTTCCCCTCTGAACCTTCCCCCTCTGCTCTAACTCCTGTCCTTCCCCTCAGCTCTTTCATTCTTCTGAGCCTTCTCCCTTTTCCTTCTGTCCCCTTCTCCTCCTTTCTGGTTCTTTTCAACCCTTCTCTCCTGCTGTGACTCTTCCTCTTCCTTAAAGGCTTTGCCATGTTTGTGTTAATCCTGAAGCAGAGAAATGCCAGGAAAAGCAAAAGCAAAAACAAAAAACAAAACTGCAGATTGTGACTTATACCATGACTTTCAAGACATGCTTCTTCTTACAATTAACAAAAATAAATGATATCCAACATGCCCTTCCTCAGGATTACCACCAAATTCCTCAAGATATCTGAAAGCCCAGGAAGCCCTTCTGAATCCACATGTTCATCTTTTAATAATGTATTTTGTACAACTCCAAAGCTAAATGAAGCTCACACATAAAAAAGCTCCAAGCAATGGTATTCTGTAGAATGGGCTCAGGAGAAATTCTAGAGAATATCAACATACACTCATACAAACATGAACAAATAATGGGAACATGAAACAGTCTACATAATCATTTTATCCAGACCACCAGAGTACAAATGAAAATTCAAAAGGAAAAATAAATATGTTTTGTAAACTTCAATGTTGCTAAGGGTCAGTTGCTAAAATATCTAATATAACTTGGGATTCTATATTTAAATTAATCAAAAGAAAAGAAAACACATACTTCTGAAGGAAGTTCAAGGTTTGCTATGCCTTCAGGAAGTGTGATATAGTGGAAAGGTCTCTGTTTCTAGAGTCAGAAGAACTGAGTTCAAATCCTAACTTTATAACTTACTGCTTGTGTAGGAATGATCAAGTTTCTTAACGTTCGTCTACATCAATTTCTTCATCTGTAAAATGGAGGTGAACTAGATGGCCCCTGAGGTTTCTTCCAGCTCTAAGTCTATGATAATATGTGAAAAATAACCATGTCTTTCTACCTTACATATTCATGAGGTTAAATTATTAAATATAAAAGTGCTCAGACCATCATTTAATTTAATCAAGGGAAATAGCATCATGCTATTGAAAGCACATTAAATTGGGATTTAGGATACTTAGGTTCAACCACTAACCAGCTGAACTGCCTTTTATAAAATGTGAGTGTTGGAGCTAAATGATGTCTAACTCTAGCTCTAATATTTCATGATTGAGTATTCTGTATAGTTCTGTGATTGTCAACTAAATGGATAGCCACTCCATATCTAAAACAAATCCTTTTGTAAAATTCCTCATCTATAATGAAGTAATCCATTTTTTATGCTTCTAAAGAGCATAGTAAGAGCAAACGGGATGATAGCTTTCCTGAGAATTATCTTTCTTTCTTCAAATTAGAGCTTCATATATTTTTCTCCTATGCCCTCCTATATCCTTATCTCCTGTGGTCCTCATATTTTGGTACAAGTTCAGAATGGTTCACATTATTCCTGTCACTAGCATACCTTCTATGCTCAATGCTTTTCCCTTTCTAGGCCTGCATTCCATCTTGCACTATATCCCTTGGCTTTATATAAAATGATACATTCCAAGCTTTTTTTCCTTTAACTGCTTGTTGGTCTAATTAAATGTAGCTGTCTATGTGGTGTGTGTGTGTGTGAGTGAGTCAGTAGAACACATTTAGTAATATGTTCATTGCTGACCAACAACTGAACTGCTTCCTTCTCCTGTGTTTTTGTTTCAGCATTGCAAAATCAGACTATATTCCAAGAGCAAAGAAAAGGCTTTGATAAGGTAACTTTTGAAAAATGCATTTGGATAGTAGAGATAGAGCTATTAATTACTTAATCAATCAACTGCAATGCAGATTTCTCTGAGTATTAGACCAAGACAGGAAAACAGAGCATCTAAAAACAAGCTGACCCATGTTGCCCAGTCCTCTCCCTTGAAATATTAAATTTAATTCAATGAACATGTTGTAAAGCATCTACTATGCATGTATGTGTGTGTGTGTGTGTGTGTGTGTGTGTGTGTGTATAATCACTATGCTAGGCTTTAGAGAAATAAAAAAATGAATAATAATACAGAGTTCCTTCCTGCATTCTGGGAACTTTTAATTCAGTAGAGAAGATAACATATTCACAAATTTTAAGGAAAAAACCTTTTGATTCAGAACTGTGATTTCATTGGTGTAATATATATATATATATGTGTGTGTGTGTGTGTGTGTGTGTGTGTGTGTGTGTGTGTGTGTGTATATGCCCTTTATTATTTGTAGTTAGGAAGTATAGGAGAGTTGGGAAATTCTACACTGTCCTTCCTCTAGTTTAAATTCCTTACTGGATAGGCTACTTGAACAAAGAAAAGTGTAGCTTACATGTACCAAAAAATAAAAATAAAAAGATGCTGATGTTTGCCGCATGTTACAAACAGGTACAAAAAAGAAGATCCACCATTATAGTGGAAAGATGGCTAGACTGGGAGTTAAGAAAACTGCTTTCTAGTTCTGAATCTGCCAGGACCCCACTATGCAACCTTGGACAGGTTATTTTACCTTTGTGGGCCTTAAATTCATTATCTACCAAAAGAAGGTTGGAATAGATGATTTCTATGGTGCCTATTAGCTCTGACATTTGATGTCTATTTCTTTTTGCTTTATATTGCTTTCTAGGAATTCTGAGAACATATGTGTCCTCACAGTTTGAGAAGGAGAATTATGTTCTGTTTTGAGCCCTGATTTGTTGCATTTGTATTCATGACCTAGACAAGAAGAACAATATTTTTACAGTTTGAAAAACACATTCCTCACAACAACCTTTTTAAATCACTTCTGCAATATTATTCCCATTTTATGGAGAGGATAGCATCTAAAATCAGATAGAAAGGATTCTCATAGTCAGAAAAATCTGGGTTTAAGTCCCACATCTGTCACTTACTAATTCTGTGACCATGGACAAGTCACTTATTGCTTCAGATAACTCTCTAAGACCTTAAATTTCAGAATAGATGCCAAACTTCATTGGCAAACAAAGTTTATTCAGATAACTGTATAAATACAGATACATATATATGTACCTATATGTATCTGTGATTATATATGGGATTATGCACACACATAGATTGTTGTTGTTGTTCAGTCATTCAGTCATGTACAATTTTTTGTAACCCCATTGACCACAGCACACCAATACTGTTTTCTTGGCAAAGATACTGGAGTGATTTTCCATTTCTTTCTCCAATAAATCAAAGTAACCAGAGATTAAATGATGTCCAGGGCCATACAGCTAGTTACTGTCTGAGGCTGGATTTGAACTCAGGTTTTCCTGCTTCCAGGTCCAGAGCTCTATTCACTGAGCTACCTGTCTCCATACACATAATATGTTATATATACATATACACACATACATATATATATACACACACACACATATATATACGTATATATATATATGTATGTAAACACACACACATAAATATATAACAACATAATTACAAGTCCAATTCTACTCCATTCTACAATTGAGTAAACCAAGGCTCAGAAAAACTTAAGCTGCTTATTCAAGGTCACACATTTAGTGACAGAGATGGCACTCAGCACATATCATTCCAAGTCCAATGTTCATTCTACTACCACGCTATGTAGATGAGGAAGAGACCTACTTTAGGGATTATCTAATCATTATAGTTCAACTAATTTCATTTTTCTTCTATAGTATGTAAGTAGGAGTATGTAACAAAACATTTGACAGCTTCTCGTTCTAATCTTATGGATGAGATGGAGAGATGTGGACTAGATACCTAATTATATTTATTCAAAACTGGAAAAACTCAATCTGGTTGTATTTTCCTATTTCAAGTGTTGTTAAAAGTAATTTCTACTAAGAGTATCCTAGATTATTTTTAGATTTAGAAACAGTACAGTTGCATGATTTAATAAGTGCTCACCATGGGAATTTTGTGTATTTATGATACACAGACTGAAGACTATTTAAAGCACAAGATCAGAAAGAGACCTGAAGGGACCAACTTGATCAACATGCACATTTTACAAGGTAAGTGTATAATGGTACAAAGAAAATTTTCATGTTAAACTTTTTTTCTCTAGAGTTCTTTATCTCTTTCCTATCCAAAATAAAAATGAGCTTACGTGATTATCAAGTAATTATTCACACAGAGGAGAAATTGAATTTGTTCTCCTCAGCTCCGACATAATGAACTAGGAGTGAATTAAGGAAAGTTGGATGAAAGTTGCAAAAAGTCAGATCCAAGTCTTTACATCTAACAATTAGAGCTATGCAAAAGTTGCATCAGCAGGAAACAAATTCCTCCATCACTGTAGTCAATTAATCGATCAATAAACATTTATTAAGTACCTACTTTGTGCCAGACACTGAGGATACAGAGACAAAAGTTAGTCCCTGCTCTCAAGGAGCATACAATCTACAGAGGGAAACAACATTGCAAACAAATATATTCAAAGCAAGCCATACACAGGATAAATAAGAAGTAATTAAAAGAAGGAAGGTGCTGGAATTAAGAGGAGTTAGGGAAAGTTTCCTGTAGAAGGTGAGATTTTAGTTGGGACCTGAAGCCAGGGAGGTCAGTAACAGTAGATAGCATGTTCCAGGCATAGGGGATATCCAGAGAAAATGCACGGAGTTGAGAAACAGAGGACCACTATCCCTGGATTGAAGATTACCACTAGGGAGTAAGGTATAAGAAGGCTGGAATGGTAGGAGGAGGCTAGGTTATGAAAGGTTTTGAATATGAAACACAGCATCAATTATCAGTATTGATGTAGAGAGTATTCATGTTTTAGGTAGGGGTTAGACTAATTTACCTGAGATGTTCCTTCCAAATCTAAGATTCTATAATGATAAACACAACAGATAATCTATCCCATATAGGCAAAAAAATCTCACCTTGGTACCTGATTGGTATTCATTGACTGTTCTGATTGGCTAATTTTTCCTTCTGTTTTTATCTAAGCTACACAATGTTAAAGGGAATTTTGGTGTGGATAACAGAATTAAGAAGATAAGAGCCACAAGGCCCCATTTTAAGTTGTTCTGAGACTAGTGCAGGACCTTGGAGAGTTCTGACAGCTGCATATCAAACATTTGAGCAAGAGGAGTTTCTGCTCTGATTTGTCTTCCTGGAACTTAATCCAGCAGGTATTCTCCAACCAAAAACACTGACATTTTATTGGACCATCTCCATTTTATCCAGTCTAATAACATAAGTCCATGTTTTCTCTTATCTTAGTGGATGTGTTAAATCACAGAAAATCTATTAAGGTAGCCTTAAATAGAGTGGCACATTAGTCTAATAGGTAATGAAAAGTCTAGAATTTTTAATCTTGGGTCTATAATGAGCAATGGATCCTTTGTGCTTTGAGATAAGTTTGTTTAACTTCACCATGCCTAGATTTTTTTTTGTTCTGAGAATAAAAGCCAAACAATCCATTTAGATATCAAATATCTTAAATTTGAGATCAATTTAATATAAATTATTAACTTTTTGTAATTTATTTATTTTTAGTTTTTAACATTCATTTCCATAAGATTTTGAGTTCCAAATTTTCTCCCTATCTCTCCCCTCCCGCCTCCCCCAAGACAGCATGTAAATTGATATAGGCTCTCTCTCTCTCTCTCTCTCTCTCTCTCTCTCTCTCTCTCTCTCTCTTTCTATATATATATATATATATTATATATATATATATATACATATATATGTATATATATACATATATATATACATATTAAACAGATTTTCACATTAGTCATGTTGTAAAGAAGAATTAGAACCAATGAGAGAAATCATGAGAAAGAAGAAACAAATGAAAAAAAGCAAAAAAAAAAAAGAGCAAATAATATGCTTTGATATGCATTCAGACTCCATAGTTCTTTCTCTCGATGTGGACAGCATTTTCTACCATGAGTCCTTTGGCATTGTCTTGGATCTTTGCATTGCTAAAAACAGATGAGTCTATCAAAGTTAGTCATCACACATTGTGTTGTTACTGTGTACAATGTTCTCCTGGTTCTGCTCACTTCACTTAGCATCAGTTCATGCAAGTCTTTCCAGGTTTTTCTGAAGTCTGTCTGCTCATCATTTCTTATAGCACAGTAGTATTCAATTACATTCATATACCACAATTTGTTCAACCATTTCCCAACTGATGAGCATCCCCTCAATTTCCAATTCTTGGCCACCACAAAAAGAGCTGCTATAAATATTTTCGTACATGTGGGTCCTTTTCCCATTTCTATGATCTCTTGGGATACAGTCCTAGGAAAGGTATTGCTGGGCCAGAGGGTATGCGCAGTTTTATAACCTTTTGGGCATAGTTCCAAATTGTTCTCCAGAATGACTGGATCAGTTCACAACTCCACCAATAATGTATTAGTGTTCCAAATTTCCCTCATCTTCTCCAGCATTTATCATTTTCCTGTTTTGTCATGTTGGCCAATCTCATAGGCATGATGTGGTACCTCAGAGTTGTTTTGATTTACATTTCTGTAATAGATAGTGATTTAGAGCATTTTGTTTTTTTGTTTGTTTTTGCTAGGCAATGGGGTTAAGTGACTTGCCCACGGTCACACAGCTAGTAAGTGTTATGTGTCTGAGGCCGGATCTGAACTCAGGTCCTCCTGAATCCAAGGCCGGTGTTCTATCCACTGTACCACCTAGCTGCCCCTAGAACATTTTTTCATATAACTATAGATAGCTTTAATTTCTTCCTCTGAAAACTGCCTGTTCATATCCTTTGATCATTTATCAATCGGGGAATGATGTGTATTCTTATAAATTTGACTCAGTTCTCTATATATTTGAGAAATGAGGACTTTATCAGATACAATGGTTATAAAAATTCTTTGTCAGTTTTCTGTTTCCCTCCTAATCTTGGTTGTATTGGCTTTATTTTTGCAAAAACTTTTCAATTTAATATAATCAAAATTATCCATTTTGCATTAAAAATGTTCTGTATCTCTTGTTTGGTCATAAATTCTTCTGTTTTCCATAAATGTGACAGGCAAACTATTCCATGATCTCTGAGTTTACTTATAGTATCAGCCTTTATATCTAAAGTATGTACTATTTTGACTTTATTTTGGTCTGTGGTGTAAGATGTTGATCTGTTTCTAACTTCTGCTTTACTATTTTCTAATTTTCCCAGAAATTTTTGTCAAATAGTGAGTTCTTATCCCAGAAAAGGGGAGTCTTGGAGTTAATCAAACAGTAGATTACTATAGTCATTGACTATTGTGTCTTGTGTGTCTAACCTATTGCATTGATCTACCACTCTGTTTCTTAGCCAATACCCAAGTAGTTTTGATGATTGCTGCTTTATAATACAATTTGAAATCTGGTGTGGTTAGGCCAGCTTCCCTAGGATTTTTTTTTCATTAATTCCATTGATATTCTAGACCTTTTGTTCTTCCAGATGAATTTTGTTTTTTTTCTAGCTCTACAAAACAATTTCTTGGTAGTGTAATTGGTAAGGCACTGAATAAGTAATTTAATTTAGGTAGAATTGTCATTAAATGGAATTTCTTTGCCTATCTCTTGCTGTTGGGCTTTGTTAGTAATATATAGAAATGCTGATTAAATAGGTTTATTTTATATCCCACAACTTTGCTAAATTTGTTTATTATTTCAAGTAGTTTTTTACTTGATTCTCTAGGATTTTCTAAATATATCATCATATCATCTGGAAAGAGTGATAGCTTTCTTTCTTCTTTGCCTATTCTAATTGCTTCACTTTCTTTTTCTTCTCTTATTGCTAAAGTTAAAGTTTCTAGTACCATATTAAATAACAGTGGTGATAATGGACATCCTCGTTTCACCCATAACCTTATTGGAAATGCTTCTAGCTTCTCCCCATTACATACAATTCTTGCTGATGGTTTTAGATAGATGCTACTCATCGTTTTAAGGAAGATTCCATTTATTCCCATACTCTTCAGTGTTATTAATGGGTATTGTAGTTTGTCAAAAGTTTTTTCTGCATCTATTGAGATAATCATATGGTTGCTGTAAGTTTGGTCAATTGTACTGATATTTTTCCTAATATTGAACCAGCCCTGCATTCCTGGTATATATTCTACCTGGCATAGTGTATTATTCTCATGACACGTTGCTGTAATCTTTTTGCAAATATTTTATTTAAAAATTTTGCATCTATATTCATTAGGATAATTGGCCTATCATTTTTTTTCTCTGTTTTGACTCCTTCCAGATTAGATATCAGTACCATATTTGTATCATAAAAAGAATTTGGTAAGACTCCTTCTTTGCCTAGTTTCCTAAATATTCTACATAGTATTGGAATTAATTGTTTAAATGTTTGATAGAATTTGCTTGTAAATCCATCTGGCCCTGGAAATTTTTTTCCTAAGGAGTTCATTTATGGCTTGTTCAATTTCTTTTTCTGAAATGGGTTTATTTAAGTATCTTACTTCTTCTTCCATTAATCTGGGTAATTTATATTTTTGTAAATATTCATTCATTTCACTAAAATTGTCATACAGCCGGGTACAATAGTTCCTGGTTATTGTTTTAATATCCTCTCTACTGGTGTGAATTCACCCTTTTCATTTTTGATACTGGTAATTTAGTTTTCTTCTTTTTTTAATCAAATTAACCAAAGGTTCATCCATTTTATTGTTTTTTTTTCATTAAACCAACTCTTAGTTTCATTTATTAGTTCAATAGTTTTCTTAATTTCAATTTTGTTAATTTTCATTTGGTTTTCAGAATTTCTAATTTGGTATTTAATTAAGGATTTTTAATTTGTTTTTTTCTAGCTTTTTTAGTTGCATGACTGATTCATTGATCTCTTTCCGTATTTTATTCATGTAAGCATTTAGAGATATAAAACTTCCCCTGAGAACCACTTTCACTGCATCCCATAAGTTTTGCTGTGTTGTCTTATTATTGTCATTCTTTCATATGAAGTTATTGATTATTTCTATGATTTGTTGTTTGACCCACTCATTCTTTAGGATTAGATTATTTAGTTTCCAATTAATTTTTAGTCTATCTTTCC